AGGAGCAGATGGAGGTTGGGTGTGGGGGAGGGTGTGGAGAAGTGAAAGGAGAGGAGAGAGGGAAGTGGGATTGGTATGTAAAATAAATAAATAAATGTGTAGTGGCATTTCATTTGTATTTTAATAAATAAAGCTTGCCTGAAGATCAGAAAAGTAAAACAGTCACACTGGCCAGCTTTACAGACCAGGCAGCAATGACACACACCTTTAATCCCAGTAGCCATACTAGTTTGCCACAGAAAACAGGGAATAGTGGTGCATGCTCTTAATCCCAGAACTAGACAATATTATAAAATGGGAGGAGACAGCTCTCAGTCACAGTCTCATTCTGAGGCCTCCTAGAGGCAAGATTGCCATTTTCAGACTGAGGTCGAGGTAAGATTCAGCAGCTGGCTGCCTTGCTTTCCTGGTCTTCAGGTTGAACCCCAGTGTCTGTCTCTGAACTTTTATTAATCAATCTTCAAATAAATAAATAAATAAACAAAATTACACACCATAAAAAAAGACTACTCACCCTTAAAAAAAATTAACTTGCTAAATACATATGTCTAGGTCTAGAGATTTGGAATATAGTCTTTGATGGCAATATATCCTTTTTTTTAAAAAAAGTGGTTGAACCTTTTTCTCAGCTTTAATACAATATAGTCTTGTGGGAAGTGCTATATCTATGAAATTGTCTTTAGATATCATTTGTGGTACTTTTAATTTAATTGGTCCCCATAAGCTCATGGGAAGTGGCACTATTAGGAGGTGTGGCTTTTTTGGAGTAGGTATGGCATTGTTGGAGGAAGTGTGTCACTGTGTGGGTGGGCTTTGGGTTCTCATATATGCTTAAGCCACGCCCAGTGTCCCAGTTCATTTCCTGTCGCCTGCAGGTCAAGATGTAGAACTCTCGGCTCCTTCTCCAGCACTATGCCTGCATGCCACCATGTCACACCATGATGATAATGTACTAAACTTGTGAAAATGTAAGTCACCCCACTTAAATGTTTTCCTTTTTAAGAGCTGCTTGTGGTCATGGTGTCTCTTCATAGCAGCAGAAACCATTCAGAAGACACCTAGTACAAAGTGGCCACTTACAATGGTTCATTCTTATTCCATGATTCAGTTCAAGTAGTCCCTCTTGAGTTTTCCTTGTCATTCTAAAATACATACAACTTATACCTTTGAACAACTCTGGGCATCACTGGATACTAGACATTTGAAGATTAAATAATCGTTTGACCTGGTATCTGTAGTCATGTGCTATAACTGGCTGGTAAGTCTACAATACATATTCATTTCCAGCACCCCCTGGCATGCCTTGCTTTTATGTATGTTTACCATATTTCTGTTGAATTGGCTGACTTATTTTTCAACAAATGACCAAAAAGAGATTGACATATCAAATTTTTATGTAATTATTCTCATTTGGATTTTGGGAGGGTAAGAGACAGAAAAGAATTTAAACAAATTAAGTAGGCAATAAGAAGTCACCTTAGGAATCTCTAATGCTAAACAATAAAAGAGAACTTAAGAGTAAAAGCTGAGCAAAATATCACTATTTCCAATTCTGCTGGGAAATTTTAGAAACATAAGAATTGTAGTAAAGGAATTAGTATGTAAAAGATGAATTAAGGAAGTTGGAAGAAGAGTTGCTATGACAACATGTGGGTTTAGATTCTGTCTGTGAAGCTCATTTACTAGAAACCTCTAAATCTTCCATTTTCATATATTTTGCAGCTCAGATTTAATGAACTTTTCAGGAAATTCAAAAGTTTCACACCAGAAGTAAAGTTCTTGCAAATGACAACTACTTAACTAACTTACTGTGTACTCATAAGGGGCTTTGTAAGCACTTAGATTCCTGTCAGTCAACACTGGCATTACAGTACATGATTAAAAAATACTGTGTAAGAAGGATAAAATATGAGTAGGCTACCAGCATGGTTTCTATAAAAACAAGTGCAATACTTTGTGAAATTCAGTGAGAGAAGCTGCATCTAGATGTGAAAGACTACAGGGAAATCATAAACATCTATAAGGATTATACACTTACATTCCTTCACAAGGGTCTACTTTTGGCTCTTCTTTAAAGAAATCAAGATGGAAACCTACCATCAAAGAAAGCACGATCATAGGTTTGGTTTATACAAGGAATAGGGCAACGACCATTGATGAGCCAATTCCTATGTAAATGTTAAATAACAACTCTATATTACTGAGTAGTAAATAAGCATAAAGTACATGCCTAAAAATTGAGATATACATGGTATAAATATATATATAGAGAGAGAGATATCATATATATCTTAATTTTTAGGCATGTACTTTATAAAATTTTTATATGTAAGTAGGATTTTTCTGACTACTGTACCAATTATCATCTATGCTTCTTCAAGTTAAAGTGGCTACTTCTGAATTTCCCAAGTTCTTACTTAAGAACCTCTCATAGAGGTATCCCAGTGTCACTGATACGCACATGCACATGTATTCAACACTATTTCATTTTATGGATGATGAATTGATATAAAGGTCACAGCAGAAGGAAAACAAAAAGGTGGACCATGACCTAAATTCTAAAAGCAACTATTCAGCACTGCTTTACTGATTGATGTCTTTCATAAGCTAATGTTTTCATGTGTGTGTGTGTGTGTGTGTGTGTGTGCGTGTGTGTGTGTGTGTGTGTGTGTGTACATGTGCACATACATTAATTTGGGCCACAGCACATGTTGGAGGTCACAGGACAACTAAGTAGAGTTGGTTCTCACCCTTCACCTTTACCTGAATCCAGAAAAGGAACAGGTTTACTCAACTTTTATGAGATCCACTGTTCTAGGGAGACAGAAAGGTTGTTTGTAAAACTTTACAATAAGGCGACTGCCTGCTTGGCGCTAAGCGGCCCAGGAGGGCAGGTACCACTGGGATGAACAGGCATTTGGTGGAAACATGGGAGAGAGGCAGAATGCCTCATGCACTATGGAGAGAAGTGGAACTGAAGACTCGACAGAGGTGAGGAACAGGCAGAAATGGGTGGCCTATGCTGTCACCTGAGGCCGCAGTGATATCCCCGACCCTTACCTGAGGAGGGTTATTCTGGTGGAGGCCCAAACTCTACCACTCAAGGCCCACATCCTGAGTTTTGAGCTGACCCACGCTAACATCTATCCCATCTATGACCTGCTAGAGTGCGTGAAGGGACCAATTCTGTAGAACCACAGTCCCAGGATCTCCATGACTTGGGGCAACACCAAGATATCTGGAGGAGTTTCAGTGAGGACCCAGTAATGACGGTGTAGCAGGAGCCAGAAGTCAAGAACCAGACCCACAACCCATTGCAATGAGCATCTGCAAGGAAAGCTGTCTGGGCAAAAGGGTCCAGTCTGTAACACGCCACAGCTCCCAAGGCCATGACTACAAATGAACACGTGATGGAGAGGTGGGAAGGAAGAGCAGTGAAGTGATTTGGTTTTTTTTTTTTCTGTTTCTCTTCTTTTTGGGGGTAAGCTATAAGGTTGAGGGTAGACATGGAAATGAGTGGGACTGGGGTGCATGATGTGAAATTCCCAAAGAATCAATACAGTAGATTGCCTTCTGCAAAGATTCGAAACTTATTAAAATAAAAATTAGATTTTTTAAGTCAAATATTTGCCCTGAAGATATTTTTCTATCACATGTTCTCATAAACATAGTTTGGTATAGTTTTTCTCTCTTATTAACTTTACTGATATAGTATAAAAACATCTGAACACCTTCCCCAATTAACAGGTTAAATAAATAAAAATGTTTATCAAACACAAAAAACCTAAAAATTCTATAATCAATGACTAGTAGCACAAATTATGCTCATGGAAAAACTACTAAACAATTTCTCAAAGGATAGAAAAAGGCATAGTAGGGCTGGGTGGGGGTGGCCTTGAATCCCAGATCTTGGGAGGCAGAGTCAGGTGGATCTCAGTGAGTTCAAGGCCAGCCAGGAATGTTACACAGGGAAACCCTATCTTAAACAACAACAACAAAAATCAAACCAAAAAAAAAAAAAAAAAAAGAAAGAAAGAAGAAAAGAAAAGAAAAGAAAAGAAAAGAAAAAAGGCATACTAGGAATTTTTGTTCTATTTTTCCCTTTGGACAAAAAAAAATCACTAAGAGAAGAAAAGATAAAATAAAATACAGAACAACTAATTTCTGTAAATGATTAAAAAAAAAAAAGTCCTGTTACAGATAGTACAGCAGGCAGAGCAGGCTCTGTCTTATAAGCACTTCATTATTAAAGGAAACATTTCTCCTCCAAAATTATAATCTTAACCCCAAACTCTATTACCAAACTTCAAAATTTAATACTCAAAAGTATTCCGTTTTGAAATATTATTGCTACCTATTAGAAAATTTCAAGCTGTGTATAATAACTAAAATTAGCAAAGGAATAATTTCATAATATATGATTGGTATGCTAAATACAAAGAAAAAGATGAAATATCCACATATATTCTCCTGGTTTGATCAGAGTTAACCTGAAACAAAAATTCTGATTACTGGTAGAAAACAAAATGTTCCCATTCTCCTTGAAGCTGCAAATAAAATGGAAAGTAATATGTATTTTTGTGTAAATGTTCATGTGATGTTTTCCTTTAAAATGTATTAAATGCTATTAAAATAATAGATAAGTTCACTAAATCTTGTTCTTTTTTATTAGTTATGCCTTTAAAGATAACAACAGATTAAACTCATATTGCTTTTATGTCTGTCATAAAGATAGTTTATCATTTTTCTTTTTCTAGTGTCTTGAACTTCAAAATGCAAAATACGAGATAATTATAGGGACAGGTGCCTAAATAATCTTAGAACAATTGTACGTTAGGGTTAACTTATGAACATATATTATCCAATCAATATTACACACACACACACACACACACACACACACACACACATATATTCAAATAGCAGACATGGTCATAAATTATTTCATGAATAATTAAACATGAAAGCCTCTAACATTCTATGAAAGAAGCACATTTTACCTGAATTAGATGAGGCAATGCTTTTAGTGTAAGGCAAAACCAAATTCCCAGTTTGCATGGAAGCAAATCATGCCATTGTGGTTTAACTAGCAATCTAAAAGAGGAGAGAAATCCAAGTAACAAATGAGAAAAACAGACAAAATTGAGAAGCAAAATATTTTAAGCAATTATGAAATCTTTTGTGAATGTCAATTTAATTTAAAAAATAAAGCTTTCAATAAAATATTTATGACAGTCATCACTTAATCTGACCTATCCTACTAATGAAAGGCAGTAGTTGCAAACATGATATAATAAATGTACAAGAATCCATACTATAAAATTTTGGGGAAAAATTTCTAATCAAGTTATAAAAATTAAAAAAAACTAATTGGTGGGGAGGGGTTGGGGGGCAGATTCGTTCAAAACACATTATATGGATGTGTGAAATTCTCGATTAAAAAACACAAAATAACCCTCAGTTCCTCCCCATTTAGCCTGAGCTTTCATCACTTCCACAAAATGAATTCTTAGACCTTTTGATTCCTCAAGTTATAAGAGACTAGTCATTGCCAAAGTGCTCCCAAGTACTGACAGTAGCTACCAATATGGTAGCATAAACCAACCATGGCATAAAAATGAATGATATCTGCAGTTTGCCCAAGCATTACTCACTGGTGGAAGATGAGCAGAAATCTCTCTCATCTCCATCCTACACTGATCCAATTCCTCCCTTGCTGTGTGAACTTGTTTAAACTCTTATATAAACATTTCTGTTATGAACCAAGGAAGGAGTTGTGGTATCTTTTTGAGTGTTAGGCATATCACTTTCTATTTATTGTCAACTCTGAACAGAGACAGATTTTTCTAGTAGCATTCTGTTTCTAGAGTTCAGTAGAAAAATTTCAAACTACAAGACTTTGAGAGGTTAGTTAATACTATTTAGATGTATGTGAACACTTTATAAGAAAAGAAAACTTATAAGAATTTGTCTTGTAAATTATGGCACATTCATGTTTATACCTAAGACAGATATGACACATATCTGAAGTGGATATATACATGAAGCAGAATAACATTAAATTACATAGTATTTTGTATATTCCTACCTTTCATTCTTTTCAGAAGCACCAAGTTTCGCTGCATCCATACTCTTGCTTCCTGTCTTCTTCTTCTTTTCTCTCTTTTTTCTACCAAGCAGCTCATCCTAACCATTAAAAGAATGACAGTACTTGACTGTCTGTAAAATGTGTGCCTCATATGCTATCAAGATTCTTTAGTAAAGAAAAAACACTGGAACATTTATGCAAATGTATGTAGAGTTCAACATGATCAAGTAAAATCATCAAACTTTCACAATAACCATTGCCATGGTATCTGGCCTTACAGACACATGAAATTTAGCACTGCTAGTCATGAGCATCCCCATAGCAACCAAAGTTTTCTAGGAAGAGAAAACATTCAATATACACTTTATTATTCAATACCTTTAACAGTGTTACTTTTAAAAGAAGGAGTAAATAAAAGATAATTCATAAATGTTTATAAATGTTTATAAATGCCCATAGAGTAATAAAATGTAGTACATATTAGATTGAGGAAGTGTAATAAATTCTTTAACAAACTGATCACTGAAGTTATAATATATCCACTTTAAATATTATTTTATGATTTTAAAGTAAATACATTACACAAGAAGTCTGTGACAAAACTTCTCAATTACATTAAAAAATTCTACTTAGAAGGTGATAATTAGAAGAATATGGTTCTACTTTACAAAGTTTTATTATAAACTCAAATGTAATATATTTTTAAAGAGAAAGATTTAAAAATATTCATGTGTTTTTCATATATAAAATATTAATTTTCCTTGGCATAAAAGTAAATCAAGCAGTAACTAGTGACAGTACAACTATTAGAATACAGAGAATTGTAGAAAAAAGAAATTTCCATGACTTGAGAAATAAATGCCTAGATTTCTATATAAAATAAGAGGCTAGGCTATTTGATTTATCGCCAGTACTCACCAGTTGTTTTTCCAGGTAGATTGACCACACCACAGCATAATGACCCACTGTGAGAATAATGAACAAGAGTAATGCCAGCTCAGCATTGCTCATTTTTCTTACTCGTCTGTAGTAGAATACTGGCTGTCGCCAATCTGGAAGTCCATTGATCAGAATATCATCGTACCTGTGGTAGCAAATATAACAGTTTTTTTTTAATGAAGAGTTTAAAATAAAGCAAAACCAAAGCGAAGCTAAAGAAAAACTTCATTTGCTCCTATATTTAAAAGGAAAAAAAATTCTCTCTGAGAGGAACAACTATAGTGCTCCAGCAACACAGTACCTAGTAAATTCAAGCATAGTTATATGGCTTCAGTAACAAACAGGATTAATACACTGGATAGCAGAGCGCATGATTTACAGCACCCAGTTATATGGCTACTAAAATGACATGCATGCCTGCCTGTAGAAAGTTCTCTACCACAGAATCAGTAACAAAAGTTAGGTTCTCACGGTGGAAATAAAGTAAAATAAAACCAGAGCTATTTGAATTACATATTATTTGAATGAATTATACATTAACTGAATCAAGCTTAGTATACATTTTTTTTGCTCAACACTTTTATTTCTACCCTCATGATAACAGTAGTTGAATGATGAATATCTACACACATTGCAGAGCTCATGTTCCTTTAAGAACAAAAAGATCTCAAATTAGAGAAGGACATGAAAATAGCAAATGTAAGTCGGAGTTCACAATAAAACTGCTTATTTGTAAACCCTTAAGTAGCAATTTCCTCATTTGTGGCTTTTGCTGAAAGGGAAGAACATTAATACATAACAGCTTTCCTTATAGACTTAAATAATCATTCTTATTACCACCAGGCTAAAAGAGAAATAAAAATTCAACTGAATTTAAATTTATTTGTCAGTTATTGAGCAAATATTTTTAAGATTAAAATAAGGAGTAACATTTATGATTGTGAAACTCAAAATGATCACATATACTGTATGCTCAATACACACAACCTGTTAATCTTAATTGAACACAACTCATTAAATATTCTAATCACACTATTTCTAGAATTAAACCTCCACTGAAAGGCCTAATTTGGTGCAACACATTGACCAAAATATTTTAATTAAAAATATTCTGAGTTAGTCACAGGCCTAATTACAGGAATAGAAATAGGGCCTATATTGTCAGGCAGGTCAGTGGAGCTCAGTAGTAGGTTTTTCTCAAGTAAATTGACCGATCTAGGAATAATAGCGCAGCTGCTAAACTGCCAGTCTTGACATGTAAATCAATTTAAATGCAACAACTGCAGTAGCTACTTTGATAGTTATTAAATTGATACCTTGGAGATATGCTAAAAATATAAAGCAGAGGGTTTATTATAGAAAACTTTTTTCAGCAGAAAAACACTGGTTATTAATACAAAATGTAATTTATTAGTCAATCTTTTAAAACCTGACTTTTAGATCAACTTTAATTATTAATACTACTAGATCAGAGTATCTGAGTAGTAAAAAAAAAAGACATTTACAAAGTCAAATCACAATATGGCCTTGTGGAGACAGGGCCAGGCAGAATTTGATGTGAAATACTCTCCTTTCCAGCATGTGTACCATTCCTTAAACATCAGCTTCATGGCATGGCATTATGGTGTCCTAGAAAATGTATTCTGTCTTCAGAATTTCAAGTTTAAACCAATCTTTTCCAGATCAACTAATTTAGACATAGGTAAAAGGTTTTCTGTTAGTACATCATAAGATCATAAAACTCAAATGAAGTCCAGGGACCATTAGGCCCCACACTGATTCTGAATTCTGTCTTACATCAGATTTCTTGAGGAGAAATAAAGGTGAATGAAAAAAATCATTATTTTCAGAAATATCTCAAATAAAGGTATGATAACCATACCTTCTAAAAGATATGGTTATAGATAAAAAAATATTTGAGAATGTGGAGTTGATTCCTTATTAGCATTAATACAAATATTAAATCTGCTTTGGACCTAAACTGGAAGGAAAGAAAATACAGCTGCACTCACAGCTGTGACTCTTCTATCAGGTATTTCTTCACCATCACTGGGAAAAGCTGCTATACTTAGTGTACAATCAAATCCAAACATGAGGCAGCGGATATTTACTCGGCTATGCCTGGCACTCTGAAAAACAGCATCCAAGGACTGAGCGTACAGTCAATGCTCTATTGATTTTACTCTAATGAACATTATGGCTCACACAACTGGCCATTTGAAAGGAAGATGGCTTCTATTATAGTTCACTTTTTAGAATCTATGTTGTTAAGAGGTAAATTACTACCTTCCTGATGAGACACTGAAAAGACAATATACTTCTTAAAATATACACAGACACTCATAAGTTATTTAAGGAAAAAGATGTGTTGACAACACAAAATTTACAACACTTTATTATGTTTTTCCATATTTAAACACATAATGTCTAAATGCTCTGTATGTGAGATGGATACAAACTATTCTTAAGTCTGCATTTAAACCAGATTAAGAATGCACAAATAAATAAATAAACATATTACAAGTTAGACAGAAGCAAATCTTTACCATAAAAAAAAAAATCACTAACACACACACAAATAAAAGCTGACATGGCATCTTCTTGAAATTTAAAGCACTAATTGATCAGTTCCACATATACAACATAGGGCCTAATGCACATTTGCTTCATTTGATTTCCTTAAACACACATGATAAACATAAAATAACAGTTGCAAAATCATTAGTAATTTACATACTAGAATTGCAATTCATCACACACCTACTGGCTAGAATTACAGAAAAACAAATTTAAAATAATCTTAAACTACCACAGAAAATATTTATTTATTTAAGACAGAAACAAAATCATAAAATAGAAACAAAATCAAAACGAAAATCTGAATAGTAAACCATGAATAAATAATTCTAGCACTTGTCAAAACTGAATTTCCTATTATACAGAATATGATTTTTTAGCTTAAAAATAACATAATTTTCATTTTAAAACTGATTTTAAACTTTCCAGCAAAACTCAGCTGTATAGAGATTATAAACAAGAAATAATATTAAATTAATTTGGTATCTTAACTAATTTTAACTAATTTTGTGTGTGTATGAATTTGGCAAATCTATTGGGGTACATAGCATTTTACATAATTCTTATGTGTCTTACAGTTTTAATTTAGGGAAAGTCAAATTAGATTTCTTATTCTCAGATTTGAACAGATCTGTAATGAAATTAACAGTAGCTTTGTAATGCATTTATGAAAGTTTTAGTAGATTCAAAGTTAATGCCACATTTTAAGCTGAATTTGTACATGAAACATTTTTTCTTTGGTAAATTAAAAAATGTTTTAAGTTTTACTAACATAGTAATAAAATAAAGGAAAATTTAAGTTGTATAATTGGATTAACAGAAATCCTAGTTTGCCGGGTCTGGAGGCACACGCCTTTAACCACAGCACTCCAGAGGCAGCCAGATCTGTGAGTTCAAGGCCAACTTGGTCTATATAGAAAGTTCCAGTATAACTAGAGCTACATAGAGAGACCCTGTCTCATAAAAAAACAAAACCAAACAACAACAACAAAAAAAAAAAAAGAAAACAAAACAGGAAAAGAGAAAGGAAGAAAGGAAGGAAGAGGGGGGGGGAGGGGGAGAGAGAGAGAGAGAGAGAGAAGGGTACAAGTAATAAGTAGTTTTCAGAAATTTAGATAAAAACTTTGGGAACTTGTATAGAAATTTGTGTTAGCTCATAAGCTGCTGATTCTTCAAATGAGGAAATTTGCTATGGAGTTCAGGGAGGAATTCTGTGCTAGGATTCCTGACAATCACCAGAAAATCTATTCATTTCATACTACAATTTATGCCTTTGACTAACAGGGAAGTTAAAGTTTTCAGATGATCTTCTAGGAATCTATCTAAAAAATGAAATTCATGTTGGTACAAGGACTTTTATGACAACATTCATAGCATCTTCAACACAAAATGTTAAAAGTCATAATGGGTGCATCAAATGGTGAGTAGATAAACAAAATTATTCACACAATAGAATAGTATTCAGTAATAAAAAGAATAACGAATTAGAATGTAGTGCAGTATGAATAAAATTTAAAGACACTATGCTAAGGACTATACATTGCATATTTCTGTCACTATGAAATGAACAGAAGATACAAATTGATAAATTCACTGAACAGATTGTGACTGCACATTTTTTGAGGATGGAAATATTTAAAGAGTGGGTTGTGGAGAGAGTATGTCCAACTCAGTACAGTTACTACACATCATTGAATTTTACACTTACGGAAGGCTATTTTCATGATAGGAAATTTATACATAAATGAAACCATTATGAAAGAAAATAAAATTTGTCTTTTTTCTGAAGAAAAAAAAGCTGTTTCATTTGTTAATGTATCTGTTGCATTTCTATTCCATTTCCTACCAAATTCAAACAGTGTATCTAATTTCAATGAAAACATAATTACATTACATTACATATCTGGAGAATAAACAGCAAATACGTGTGTGTGTGTGTGTGTGTGTGTGTGTGTGTGTTACCACTAAGGACCTTTATTCTCTATCACGCACAGAATCATCTCAGAAGAATAACACAGCAAACACTTCTATAACTTTCCAAACTGTTCATGCCTAGGTTATAATCTGAACATACTTGCTCAATGAATATTTATGCAAACAATTGTGTCGGCAAAGTTGACTTTGTGAGAGTGAAATGAGTCGGTCTTTTAGAGGCAGCTGACTAGTCTTTCCTTTTTAAGGAATTAGGAGTTTTACTGAAAAGATCTGTACACTCCTTTCTCCTAAGTCTAAACACTCACAGGTCACCTAGCCTCAGGCACAAGCTTTAGAGGAGTGATTCTCAGCTTGATTAGTTAAGACTTTTGCCTCAAGGAAAACCAGTTACCAAAGAGTTACTTGTGCCTCAAGGGGAAATACTAGAAATGTTTTTATAACTGTCAGGTCCATTTTTCCCCCACTAACAGTAAAGTCAATGCAAAGGGAGCTATTCCTAAAGAGATTGTATTAGATGAGTCTATGTGAACAAAGAAACAATGGATAGGTAAGGAGTTATTTGCTGTGAAAAGACAGAAATGATTTTAGTAATTAAAAGAAGTTATCACAACATTTACTGACTTTTAAGAGAACAATCAGCCAAAAGACAAAAAGTTTCAAGGCAAAGATACTGGAAGAATAAAGCAAGCTATCTTCACAACACATTCTTGATATGTGAAACAAAACTAGTGATTCAGTAAAGAAAATCTACTAAGATAAGTGCAGAATGACAAAGCTGGATAGACCACAACCTGATCAACTGTGGCTAAGAACCAGGAAGGGCAACTAACATTTTAGGATGTTGAAAAAGAGTTCAGAATGCCACATAATGTAATTCTGGGGTTTGTGTATAAGTTGTGATAGCCACATAAACAAATCAGGTACTTATGCCTGCTTTAGCTTAAATCTCAAAAATGAGGGTATTTTCTTTAAGATAACACTGTCACATTTCCGAAGCTGTCCACTATCATCTCATGAAATCAACTTATTGGGCTATAATCAGCATTATTATTGTTTATTTTTAAATATTAATAAGCCCAGAATAAAACAAAAAAGTTTATTTTACCTGCAATAATTTTTTTCTGAGACACTTTTGTTGTATGTGTTCAAAGGGATAATTTAAAATGTGTTTCTTACCCTGGCTCTGACTCTAAGATCTCAGAAGACTTCACACTGGATCCACATTCCACACAGTCTACAGCAGAGGGAAGGCCTATGATCTCCTGAGTCACTGGCAATATAAACCATTAGAGTTTATCACTGCTCTTCTGAGGGAGCAGAGACAGGTCTGTGTGAGGGATTGCCTCTCCCTAAGGTTATCAGATATAGCATCACTGGAGCAGAGTGGGAAGAGGGCAAAACCAACAAGAGAACCGTTTCTTGTTTGTTTGTTTATTGTTTTAATCATATTTTCTACAGTTCATGTAAGTCTATCAACTTACAACCGGGGTTATCTGGGAAACACCAGGAAAGTACATTTATGATTACTAAGTGATAATCTCAAATGCTTAACAAGTGCTCATGAGGGTAGCGGGTCTACTGAATACAGAGAGGAGCTATTTATGATATAGTGAAAAGAATGGACATTTGGTTGAAATCAAGTACTCCTGATTGTTTCCCAGGGCATAAACACCCGCATTAAAAGTCTGTTCTAATGAACCAAAACTTGCTAACTTTACGACTCGTGATCATAGTTTGTAAGCAGTGAATCAGCCTAGAAAATAGATTCAAAAGAAATGAGCTTTGCTCTACACAAGACTGTAAAACAATGCATTTCTTGGAAGAAGCAAAACAAATAAAGAAAACCCACCAAAACAAAAAACCTAACCTAAGCAGGACTTTCCAAAGCTGTAGCATGAAACTTGCCCATCCAAACTCAGAAGCACAAATGAGCACTCACCTCTGCCTTCTTTCATCATCCTTTAAAACTTCATAAATGGCCACCAACTAAAACAGAAGCATTACTTTAAAATAAAAATATTTTCAACTGTAAGAAATCACATAGGAGGATGAACGCTCTAAAACACACATGCAGAAAACCCCATGTGTCCATCTATGCAATAAATAATAAAAATCCAAAAATAAGTAACAGTTTATGCTTTTGAAAGCAATTTTAAAAACTGATATCAAAATGAACTTTTGCAAAAGGCATAAAAGTAACAGTTTACCTTAAAAATATTAAGAGCAAGAGCATAATTTAGATAAGAAAATTATAACAACCATGACCCTGTAACAACTAAGAAAAACTCTAAATGACACAAAATGTCGTGAAAAAAGTATTCCATTAAAAAACAAATAAAAGTCTAAATGTTATATATTTAAGTTTTATGTTCAAATGAAAATATGCTATATCTAAGTTAAATTTCTAGCATAAGTATATTACTACAACTGTCACTATAATAAAGTTACATTGCACTTACTTGTCTAAACTGAGTTTCTGCATTTTCATCTTTATTCTTGTCTGGATGTAAGGTTAGTGAAAGCTTACGATATGCTTTTCTGATGTCTGCAGATGAAGCATCCTGGGTTGGTAGGGGGAGGGGAAAATACAAAGCAAACTTTGTCAGAAAGAGAAATTCCCAGAACCTTGTTAAGATCTGAGAAGACAGCCAACCAAATGCAGGACCCCAGGCAATGTAATTTGAGCAATCAGTCTAACAACCATGCTATGCAGCTAGCCTGACCCACATGACTGAACAATTATTCAATCTAAATTGGCTCTCCTCTTAACTTTCATTACCATACAGTCATTTAAGGAAGATGGTATTTGACAAAACTTTTCAAACACTTGCCTCCCTACAATTAACCAATAAATTTTTTCAGTAATAAAGATACAAAAAAGAGACAAATTAAAAATTAATATATCTGTGTACTATAGAGAACTTTATTATTTACTTGAGAATTTTAAAATCAGTTTAAGAAGTCCAAGCTTATATGTAAACATGTAAATTTTTAACTATTATTCATACTGAAATTACCATTCAGCAACAACTTATGAAAACCTGATTTCATGTCAAAAAATGTTGACTTGAAGGGAGTTAAATATGTGTTATCCAAACAGTTGTAATTAAACAGTTATATGCTTTAAAGGGTATGTCTACAATTCTACAATCTCCCCAGTCTGGTTTGTAGACAAAAAAAAAAAATGCCCACTATTCATGTATGACTAATATAGTTTAAAACATATTCAAGGTCACAGCAGTTCAGTGCTTCAGATTTAGGAGGATGTTAAAATAATAGTAATCTTGTTTGTGCAGATAAAATAAGAAAACATCATTTACATGGCTAAAATAAATAGAGTTCAAAACTTCATTTCTACTATATGTAAAAACAGATTCTTGAGGCAAGTGATAGTAAAGCAACTTATTAAACTTTGTCTGATAGCTATTTGTCTAATTAATTACTAAAATGCTCAAATAACTGAAAACTCAAACCAACACAAAAATCTATATACCAGGGGCCAAGAAATAAATTTTTGGAGGAAAAAAAGAAAAGAAAAGAAAAAAACTACAATTAGTCTGTCAAAGCTTTCCTTTATAAGCAGTTATTTTCAATGTTAATGTGTGTGTCTGTGCGCGCGTGTGCTTCAGGCTAGTCAGCTACCCTAGCTGTGAATACTTCCGACTTATGTAGGGCCAAGGAGCTGTAAAACCAACAAAGTAAACCTTGTAGATAATATGTTTGTATTATTTCGTTTTAAGTTTGCTGAAGGAAAGGATGTGCTTCCCACATTAGATGGCAGGTAGTACATGAAAGAAAGGAGCTGTTTAATGGAAATGTGTGGTGAGTCCTTTTGTCATGCAAAGAGGCCGTGTGTCAAATGAATAAACAGTCTCTAATTAGAAATTTAAATACAATTTTATTAAATTAATACTGAATGAGAGAAAATTCTGAAGATTTTTAAAATAAAGTATGAGTTTATATATTTTCATTATAAAATAATACATAACATATAATATCTCTGACTTTAAAATAAATATGACTACTGGTCAACAAAGGCATTTCCTTGCTTTGGCATTGTCAGCAAGAATTCTCTGCCACAGTATGCATCTCAAATATAAAAACAGTCAGATAGTTCTGTTTCTACACCTCCAAGAGTTTTAATTACCTTTATCACCTGTTTTCCCATCTCTAGCTTTGTCTTCCAGCTGTGCTGGCCTCCCACATAATTACACTTCAAGGTGCAGTTCAGCGTCCTCCTGATTTTTAGCCACATACAAACTCACAAACCTACCGTTTAAGCATAGTTGTTATTGAGCCCATTTTACAAGTAAGTAAGGTAGGGAAAAGGTAAGTAACATGTTCAAATTTATACTGCCTACAAAAAGATTAAGACAGAATTCAATGCAAGAAAATACTTTCAGATCTAAGCTATGTTGGCTGTTTTACTTAAGATTTAATTTGTAAATTTGTAATTTTTAAGTTTAAATTTGTAAAGGGAGGAAGCTTTGGGGAGGCAGTGGAAGTAATCATTACCATTTTATGAATTTGATAAACACTGGGAGCATTATCATCCACCAAACCATAAGGTGATTACACCCCATAAAGTTCTGTTTCTTCCTCCTACGGTTGCTGGTGTTTGAGGTGAGGTCTCACTATGTTGCCCAGTCTGTCTTCAACCTCCTGGGCTCAAGTAATCACCCTGCCTTGGTCTCCTGAACTGGGAATAGAGGTACACATCAACCAGCACCAAGCTACTCTATGAAGCTTTAAAGGTACACCCTCTGATGTATGCTGGCTTCTCCACAGCACTTTATATCACATTTCTATTAAAGACTCGAATTTTGAACATTCATCTATTAAATTCAGCAAAACAGACCATTTAAAATTTCTTTGGCTTATATGGAAAAAAGCTTGACAGGGCAATGGGTAAGCTGACCATTGCTGATATCAAAAGATGTACTACATCAATTTGCCATGATTCTATTCCTTCTAAATGTGACGCAGCTCGCTAGCAGGTAAAATATGAATTATCTTAACACTTGGATAACCTCCGTAATGAGGAGACATATTGTCACTCTTAACATCTTTTAATGTAATATATGCTAGTCAGAATGGAACTCCGTGATGAGACATGAGTGAAAAGGCGGAGAGAGAACTCCAAGGGCTGCCCCACCACAGAAACAGTGACTAACCTGGTAAAACTGTCAGAATCAACTTTATCTGAACCCTGGAAACTAGTCAAAGCTCATGGCAATCAGGCAAGCACTTAAGATCACATGAAGCTGATTCTCAGTAAGGGTTCTGCAGACACCAACCTCCACAAAGGATGCGAGTCCCCAGTGCAGGAAAAGCACAGCTTATCTTTTTCTCAAAGAATTACGGATGTTTTGATCTGTCTGTCTACTCTGATATTTAAAGACTTTTCTTTTTCCTTTTTTTGAATCAAGTTTGGAATTCTGAAAGTGTACAGACAGCAGTAATCAAGAACATTTAAAAGTTGACCAATGAAGCGTTCTGTGGTTAAAGGCCCTTACGACCAAGTCTGATAAACCTGAGTTTGATTCCTGGAACCCACATGATAAAAGGAAAGAACAAACTATCTTAAAATTTTCTTGACAATTAATACTTAAGTTTCTGAGTGATTATTTGGGAGCAGCTGCCAACACAGGAAAACTACGCTTAGAAATCAGTCAAAGGTAACAGTTGGGAAGAAAGTCTTTCGGGAAGTGTCTTTGAAATGTTCCTTAAATTTCTTGGAAACTAAAAGACCATGTGTGTGGTGCTCTTTTGTGCTCTAACAAATAAAGTTTGCTGAAGATCAGAGCGCTGAGTTAGGCCACTAGTTAACCATAGAGGTCTGGAGGTCTGTATAGACAGACAGGAAGTAAAATAGTTGGGTAGAAAGAAGAACATAAGGAGGGAGGAGATAGGAGCTCACCCCATTTTTGGCTGAGGAATTAGCAAGATCAGAGCTAGCTGTGGCTTGCTCCTTTCTCTATCTGATCTTTCAGCATCTGCTGTGCTATCTGGCTCTGGGTTTTTAATAAGACCAATCAGAACTGGTTCAAAGCATGTGCATGTTCAGGGACAAGCATGTGCTCAGAAAGATCAGAGAAGGTGTTGAAGTTCTCACTACTGGTATATCTTCAAGCTTTGTATAAGGAGCAAGCAGAGTTGTTGAAAGAGTTGCCAGTACCAAGCTGAGCACTGAAAGCATGGTCCAAGAGTTCAACTGGCTGTCGTGGTTTGAATAAGAATGGCCTGCATAGGCTCATATATCTGTATGCTTAGTCCCCATTTGATGAACTGTTTGGAAAGATCAGGAGGTGTAGTCTTGTTGAAGTGAATGCAACATTAGAAGAGGTGTGCTGTTGGGGGTGGGCTTTGGGGTTTCAAAAGTTCAGCGTGTCTTCCCACTACCAACCCCCTCTCTCTGTCTGTTGTCTGTGGATAAGAATATAATCTCTCAGCTACTGCTTCACAAGCTTCCTGCCATGATGATAATGGACTAACCCTCTGAAACTGTAAGCAAGCCCCCAATTAAATGCTTCCATTTATAGGAGTTGCCTTGGTTAGGGTTTCTTTATAGCAATACAACAGTGACTAAGATATTGGTCAAGACTGGGACAGTCTCATCTGTCTGCAGCTCACTTCTGTCTCTTTCTCCTCCTCCCCTCTTCCATGTGCCTTAGGGATCTCTGCAAAACCACTGGATGACTATAAATTTAAGCAGAGTCCAACGGCCAAACAGCCAACTATGGACATTTTATACGCTTAGTTTAGAATAGTCAGTAGACAAATAGCACAAACTCTGAGGATGTAGGAAATATAATTGTCATATTATATACTTAAAATGTCTAGAATTATGCATACATTTAAAAAACCAATAAAACATACAAAGAGGTAAACTGGTTAATACACAGGGGAAAAAATTAATAGCAGTTGCCTGAGAAGTCTAATAAACATTAGGTCTACTAGACAAAGGTTTTTAACTCTTAATGTGGTCAAAGTACATGTACAAATAACAGAAGAGAAATATAGGAATATTCTCTTTCCAAATCAGACTATCAGCAAAAAGAAAGAAAAACTTCAAAAGGTTAAAAACAGAACTACTTCTAGACTTAAAAATACAGTAAGTACAAAGGAAATGTTAGTAGGTTAAGTTCAATATCAGATCTTCATGGATACAAGGACTCAATGAATGTGAGGATAAGTCAGAAGGATGAAGGAAAAAAACAGATCCCAGAGACCTTTAGGACACTATAGAGAGTACCAACAAACATGTGTGTAATGAGTTCAGAAAGGAGAAAGGAGAAAGGAGGGAAAAAGGATGCACTTAAAAAATATTTGAAGAAAAAAAAGGAATTGAAAACTTGAAAAACTTGGAAGATATGAATCTACACATCTAAGATTCAAGAAACTTTAAGTGGGGTTAAAAAATTCAACACAGAAATATTATCAGCAAAATATAGAAAAATCAAGAACAAGTGTGGTGGTGCACATATTTACTTCCAGCACTTGGAAAGAAGAGGCAGGAGGATCTAAGTTAAAGGCCATTACAAAAGGAAGCACTAACAGA